GCTCTTCCTCTGGGTCTCCCGCTGTGCGTGTCTGGGCTCAAACAGAGCTCAGGGGGAATAGTATGGGAATAGTTCATGCCCGCTAGAGGCTGATGCAACATACCAGACGTGTAGCAACATCCTCACCTTTCACACACTAACCCACTGGTGCCTGAGGACACCGTCTCCCTGCGATCCCCCGCTCTGGAAACTCATGCACTGTACATGTGCAGATCAGACGGGACATGCTGCGTGGCTGTAATCTGCACAGTTACCGTGCCCTCGTGGGTAATAAGCAAAGGAAGGAGGTTTCAGGGCTTTTTTTAGACAACAGAAGCTGTTTTGACTTCCTACAAGTTTGAGATTTTAAAACGGCAGATGAACAGAGCCTGATGTTTGTGTTTTTTTGTAATCAGACAGACAGCGCTATCCAACCCTGTGATGATGGAGGTCCTTTCAAAGATAGACACAGTAAATTACACATCATGTAACACTTTTATCTTTACACAGCATTGATTTTTATAGGGGTGTCGTCATATAAAAGCCTAAAAAGAAATACGCAGGGAGGCGATTACACTCTAGATTTGAACTTTGCCACAGTACCAAATTAAATACATGACGAAAGTGAAGTGTGCTATATTTAGTAATGATTGTAGCATTAAAATGTAAGATTTAAACCAAATATCTGTGCTAAACTTACAAGCTCATAAACATGATGCAATCATTTTTAATTAAATAGAAGTGAAATATTAAAAATCAAAGGTTTATTTATTTAAATTATTATTCATTAAGGAAAAAATGTTTGGTATAAACTGAATTTAATTTCACCAGAGTCCATTAAATTTAACATTTTACATTCTACTTATGTAAAAAAAAATTTTAAAAAAAATTACATCAAATTCAAGCATTTTTACATAAATATATTTTTGAGTTTAGATTGTGATTGTCCTTCAAAACAAATAACCCGGTAACTTTGACCCGAAGTAGTCTGTGATCAGCAGTGTGCTGTGTTTCATCTCATCATTTCTTGGTCACAATAATTTCCAGAACTCAAACTCAAGCTCAGATCAATAAAACCTACAAATCAAAAATAAATAACAAATCAAAGTCAAAATGTTTACAAGAATTTCATTTTATTTTGAAAAATCAAACTTGAGAAGTAGGGATACTATATGTGTAATTACAGTTTTTATTATGAATGGTGATTTTTGAACATAAAAACAAAACTGTTTGACATGAAAGGAACACAACATGAGTGTTGAGGTGCAGCCTTTGAACTGTATTTCAAAGCGAGTCATCCCCATAATCTCCCATGTTGAAATATTAAATGTAACAGCACTAAAAAGCACATTTACCTCCTGGTACAATACACAGTTTTGGCCTCTGTGGATATATCTATTATTTTATAACTCATCCACCTGGAAAACAAAGTCAGGGGCGTAGCCATGATGACTGTCATGTGTCTGCTACTGGAGTCTTCTGGAGCGTTTGAATGGATTATCTGACTGATATCAGGAGTCGCTGTGTGGTACAGAAGCTTGTTCTTGAGTTTGGGTGAGTGAGTAGCTTATTAGTCCATTACTTGTAACTTCTGGCTTCAAGAAACTAACGTGGTGGTGGCCAAAATACAAATGTGCGAGGCTTCAAGTACTTTCATTTTTACAGATGATTGCCTGCTGACTAACAGAAGTCGGAAAGTTTGGCCTCTTTTGTATACAGTCTGTTTTACTTCCCAAAACGCTGAGTGAGTCATTCCAAAGTGAAGCACAGACTGACTGGAAAAACTGGTTCCCAGTTTACGCAGGTCCTCCTCCTGTGTCTGCTGGCTGTGCTGACCCTCCTGCAGCTCCCTGCATCACACAGGGCCACATTTATCACCTCAAGGGACATGAGCTACATGCAAGCAGCGCAGCCTCATGTTTAATGCGAACATAGTGTTCGGATAGAGCTGAGTAAGGACGGAGACCTGCCTGTGCAGCCGACTGAGGACAATGGTCTGGTTCACGTAAGCTGAGTGCAGCGGGTTCGGAGGATACGTGCAGAAGAGCAGCCTGCAGCGGGAGGAAGGCCTACGTGCACCGGGTGTCCAGCATCCAGGAAGTACCCTGCTCCCTGCAGAGGTTCATCATGTAAAAACTCAAATCCTGCTGGTACGAGAAGTGCACCTCTGCATAATGACACATGTGGATAAACAACAATTTTAAGGGTTTAAAAGAGGCTGAAGGAGAAACGCGTTTTTTTTATGATTGGACAAAATGTACAGTGGAAATGCAAGTTTGCTCTTCTGAGTCAGAGCGAGGGTTTCTTTCACTTTTACTTGCAAGTAATTTTTTTCAGCATTAATTTTCCACCATAACAACATATTATTACTTAGTGACTCCAGTCAAACATTAACTGTTTAACATTAACTGACCTTTTAGTTAAACATGTAGTTGTTTGTTGTTGGCTGACTCTCTTATCCCTCTACAATACTTGCTGTCCTTACATTTTCCAGCCTTTCTCTTCCCCGCAGCATGAAACCTCCCAAGTTTACTCTAATCCAGTGATACCTTAACATACAGTGGGTATAGAAACATTTGGACATGTGCATTTCATCATATTCCTCGGATGGCTGCTTAACGCTTTGAGAGAAGTACAGTATCTGAGCCTAATGTGTGATTAAATGTGAAACAGGAGCCGTGACCGGCTGACACGTGCGTGTGTGAGTCTGAGCGCCTGGCAGGACATCAGCATCACGTTCCTCATGTCTGCGTGAGTGCGTGAGTCTGTTGAGAGGAACGAGTGTGTAAAAGGGCCTGAAGGCTTGAACTTTCCCCTACTTCTCACAGTGACTCCTCAGCCTCTGTTGTTCACCAGCATTCCTGATTCAGCAACTGGTTGTCTTCACCCACTGAGGTCATTAACGGCATTCAGCTATCAGGGCTTTAGTCTTAAACGTGAAAAAATCCAAAGGGAATCATTGGTTTTTGGGTGAAACTGTTTTAGGGACGGCTTAAAAGCCAATCAGATGTGAAAATAGGGACTTTAAAGGACTTTTAAGATTTAATAAAAGAGCCATCAAAAGAAAAAGAAATAACTGCTTCTAATGGCACATGGATCTGTGGGTCATTTCAAGGGAACATTTTATAGCCCCGAGCTGTTGGAAATTATCTGCATTTATTCAGATGTTACAGAAATAATAAAACAAATAGTTGATTTGTAAATGAATCAGCAGTGAGAACAGCGGGAAGTCAAAGTGTTTTTGTAGCAAATGAAACCAACAGAGTGGGAATACGAGGCAAAAATATGACATCATCAGCATAAAAAGGCTAAACTAAGCCTCAAAACTAAAACTGTAAACATGTCATGTTTCTGCATCAGTGAGTGTATAACCAGAAATTCAGGCCCTCCTTGCATCATGTTGCTCACTGTGAGACTTTCCCCGCCCCCTCTCCCTCCTCCTCTCCTACCAGAGCTATAAAAAGCCTCAGTGTCTCTCAGTGAGCAGCACACACAACAGACAGAGACAGATTTCAGACGCGGCACTGACACCAGATCGGACCTACAACGATGAAGATGCCTCAACTTCTCATCCTCCTCGTGACCATTTTGGTGCACGCAGCAGTTGGTTTCCCCACTGACAGGAGGGGCCGGGAGAAACAGGCCTCGTGGGACGATGTGAACGTGGTGGCCCACGGCCTCCTCCAGCTCGGCCTGGGGCTCAAGGAGCACGTGGACAAGGCCAAAGCCCAGATGAGCGACATCAACACCAAACTGAAGGCCTTCAACGGCACGGTGGCCGAGCTGGAGAGGAAACAGCGGGAGCAAGATGAAGCTCTGAAGGCCAGAAGTGCGGGGCTGGAGGAGAGTCAGAAGCTGGCGGAGCTGGCTGAGGAGGTGAAGAAGCAGACAGCGGATTTAAACTCCAGGATGGACTGGCTGCAGGGAGCGCTTACAGAGAGGATGCTGGACAGCAACGACAGCGGTCACTCAGGAGTCCCAGTGATCCAGGTGAGAGGGGGGAAAGAGGGCTTTTGTGGCTTCTCTTTAACCAGGTAGACACATGAGAGCAGTGCACGCCCATTTTAATAGACCTGAATAGCCCCTTTAAACCTTTTAGCGGCAGCCACTAAGAGTTCTCTCTTTAAATAATAGTTCCTTCCAAATTTAAGCACCTCCCATCCCAGACCGGTGGATGTTGTACGTTGCATAAAGCTGATGATGTTTCTCCCTGTTGTCTCCAGTTGCTGCTGGCTCAGAACAAACGCGTGGACCAGCTGGAGGAGAAGCTCAAGCTGCAGCAAGACAAACTGGAGAAGCAGAGTCTGCAACTACAAGCACTGCAGAACAAGGTGAGCCGCACCACATCCACGAATCCACGCGTTCCCCAGCGCCTGAGACGTTAAAGCAAAAAAACTTTAACGAGAAGTTTCTGTGTCCTGCAGATTTCGCATAAGAGAGTAAAGGCGCACAGGAGGAAACACGAAGAGATGGCACTGAGGGGCGAGGCTCAGCAGATCCACACAGAATCAGGTAAGATTTGTGCTATTGAAGTTTAAAGCCGTGCGTGCGTGTGTGTGCTGCTTTCAGAAGAGTTTTAGACCCTCAGAGCACTTTCAGACATCAAGTCTCTTTTTACAAAAGTGGCAGCCTTGAGCGCAGACACGCATGAACTACATATGAATCATAACAAGTGACATAAGAGGTTCACCTTTGCGCCTGAGTTTATAGCGCTGACTTGTTGGCAGATCTGTGCGAGCACAGTCCAAAGATCAGGGAAAAGGAGGGCAGCAGCTTTAAAAACATGTTGACTGCACATACTTTTATTTCCAAGGCAGAGAAAGTTTCCCAAAGATTAATAACGAACGCCAAACTGTGAGCAGAAATGCAAAGTGCAGCCTCAAACTCATCACTCTTCTCTTCCTCTCAGGTTTGACCGGAGACGGTGATGATCTCCTCCTACGTAGGCAGCGAGCCAGCAGAGACAGGAGGAGCAGGAGGGAGCAGCTCAAGAAGCAGGCGGCATCCTTCTCCACGGCCACAGAGCGAGAGAGCAACTCTCTGAACGCCGGTCATCTAAAAATGACACCGCCATCCCCGAACCATTAAAGCAGAGCGCTAAAGAGAGAATGACTTTAACTTAAACGCTGAACTACTGAAGGACTGAAACCAGAGTGTTTACACGCACATCATTGCTCTGTGCTGATTCACTGCAGGGTCAGACACATGGATGCTATGCCATGCTATAACTCATTGTCTCATTGGACATGTTCAGTCATATTGACGAGTGTAACTTTTTTCCCTTTGTAAGGGATTTATCCAATTGTTTTGTTTTGTACTTAAATAATGTGCAGTTTCTTATTTTATGGATTTGTACAAAACTTTGAATATTTTATATGAAGCGGATGAAAATAAAACTTTTAAGTTTACCTTACCAGGACGTCCTGGCTCTTTGTTTGTGGTTGAAGAGGCTGAATGACATGACTCCAGGAAGACAGTCTAGACTTTGCTCTTTATTTTATATTTCAGTGTGATAAACAAATAGAATTATTCACTTATGAGGCATTCATTTCTGTCATTGTGTGGGTCTATATGCAGTGAAACTTGGCTCCACAAATGAGCAGCTGTTAAACTGCATTTAAACCCGGCTATAAAAGTGAAGTTGAAGCCAAATTGAATTGAGGCCAAACGATTGGAGCTACACAAGTTTTGATGCCACCTAGAGGTGGGAGCAAAGAAGTGGCCACTTTACACTTTGCTAGAAGCAGGTTGGACACCAGTTTTCCTTCAGAACGGCTCAAATTCAACAAGCTGCTGAAACCATTCCTCAGAGATTTGGTCCATGTTGATCTGGCAGCATCACACAGTTACTGCTTGTTTGTTGCTCATCCATGGTGTAAATTCCCAGTTCAGCAACATCGCAACAGATGTGGGATTGGAATGAGATCTGGTGACTGTTGAGGTTATTTGAGTACTGCGTATTTAGTGTCATGATCAAGAAACAAGTTTGCGATGACCTCAGCTTTGTGTCACAGTGTGTTATCCTGCTGGAAGCAGTGTGGTCATAAAGGGGCATGATCGGAAACAAGACTGTGGTAGGCTGTGGTGTTTAAACAGGGCCCAGTTGATACTAAGGGAGAATATTCCCCTCACCATTACAGCAGCAGCAACCTGAACCGCTGATACAAGTTGGGATGGATCCATGTTTTCATGCTGTTTAGTGCAAACTGTGACCACCACCCAAATGTCAGACCGGGCAACATTTCATCAATCCTTTGTTGTCCAGTTTGTGTGAGCTGGTGTGACCCATAGCCCCAGTTTCCTGTAGCCCATCAGCTTCAGCACGTGTCAGACACGTGCATCCAGAGGTGCTCATCTGTATACCTTCCCAGTAACAAGTGGTTATCTGGAGTCACTGTTGCCTTCATATCAGCTCGCAGCAGTCGGGCTATTCTCCTCTTACCTCTGATATCAAAGCAACAAGATATTTTCACCCAGAGAACTGCTGCTCACTCGATATTTTGCTCCTTTTCAGGCCATTTTCTGTAAACCCCGGAGAAGGTCGAGTAATACTCAGACCAAGCACCAACAACCATGTGCAAAATGTGAACAGTGAACTTTTAAAGGTTTATTTTTCTTATCAGAGTATTATCTAATTATTACAGAATTGGAAAGTAATCTAAATCACTCTGCAGCTCTGTAATAATGAAGCTGTCCTGCATTAGGTCTTCATGAACACATTTAAATTCAGTTTACTTAAAAATACCCAATGCACTGTTTACGTTACTGTGTTAAGTGTTTTTAGTCCATTTTAATAATTGCATCCTAAGTTTAATAATGAACTGCCTTAAATAATATTCACTCTGCTTTGTGTGATGACTTTTTTTTAATACAATATGGTTAAAATGGTGCTATGGCGTGCCAAGGTGGTGCTCTGGTTGAAAGCAACGGTCCTAACGTAGGTGTGGATATGAGTTGACAGCTGTTAGCCACACTGATCACAGTATAATAGGATGACTGAGGCAGCTCCTGTGTCTGTGTGTGTGTGTAACTGTGGGAGTGTTGAGGTTCTGCCTGTGTACCTGATGAAAGCTGGGCAGATCTCGTAATCACTCACAGTCAGCAAAAATTATTTCAGCAGCACTTTAAGTGGCGAGTGCTGGAGCTGTTTTTAACAGACTTTTATGAGTATATTCTATAAATTCAATTTTGCACTAAACGATCAACGAAACGCCTTTAAAAACACATTTAATCTGGTGAGAAGAGTTTGGAAAAGATTGTTCACTTCTGTTTATTTCTTCAATATCTGAGAGTACATTTAACCATGTACAGATACCATGTCATGGCAGCTCATCTTACAGATGTTCATCAGACACTTGAGGTACTCTAACAGGTTCCCTGATATGGGTGATGTGAGCGGGCGCTCTTAAACTCTTGCAAGGCACCTCAGATTGCCAACGGCTCTGCCAGACATCATGCAGGTCAGCTTGTCGGCACCAAGGCAAACATGTACTGTGCGAAAGTCCTCAGCAGCAGAAGAAAAAGAAGCTCCCGAGAAAAGTTAAAGCACGTGACTGAGGGAAGCAGTGACGAGTCGCTACGCATTCCCATTATGAATGATTAGATAACAATAAAAGTATAAATTTTATTAATACACAATAAAAATGTGGCATTTGGCTTGGCATGCCACATAAAAATCATCTCTGACAGCACATGAGAAAGAAATCTCAAAGCACAAAAAGACTACAAAGTGTGTGACAAGGAGGGTTAAGCGCTGTTTTGTTTGCTCTTTCAGAGCTTTACATTTACTAGCTTCACATCAGTGTTTATTCACATGGGGGGAAAGTGATATCTCTGTCAGTTGATACCCAGAAAAGCAGAACTTTAAAAAAAAAAAAATGTGGCCCCAAAGAGAAAAAAAATAGACAAACCAGGTTCAAAACTGGGCACTGCAGGTCCATTTATGCACTTTTTGCATTGCTGATGAATTGATTGTGTTGGTGCAGCATGTTCAGCATCAATCATCATTACTGTGACACTCTCACTCCACTGTGACTACAAACTCGAAAGCTACAGTTCTTTCTGGCGAATAGCGCCCCCTGCTTGTTTTGTGCCTCAAAACAACCGATCGGTTCTCTCCCCAAAGCCTCCGTCAGCCTGAAGGCTACAAGAGGTCTCCTCAGTGCCGGGCAGTACCTGCCCATCGTACTGACATCTGCATTTGATCCCTGTAATGATTTATTGATGCTAAAATGCTGAAGTGCCTTTAAGACAGACATGAGTCAAGGTGTGATGAGATTTGGCATAGCTTGCATTCAACAGATTATAAAAATCTAGGAGGCGACGCGGAGTTGGACAAATGGAGGAATGTGAAAGAGGAGAAAAGGGGAGGAAGGACAGGAAGCGAGGAGGGAAAGTTGCTGCGTCAAAAGGCTTTATCAGAGGTTCTGCTGGAGGAAGTGCAGCAGTGTAATCTCATAATGCTCTCCAGACTCTGGACATCTGATGCTGTGTCGCTCGTTGGGGTAAACCTGGAAAAAACAGAAACCACAAACAAGCGTTTCAAAGCTGCTGCTTCTTCAAATGTGCCGGTCTCATCGTTAAACAGTGCGCAGGTTTGAACCCCGCGAGACATCAGTCAGCGGCCATACCTGCAGGCTGTACGGTTTCCCTGCTCGGATGAGTTGAGACACGAGGAAGTTAGTGTGGAAAAAGTGCACGTTCTCGTCTAAGAATCCATGCAGGATCAGCAACCTGTTGGGCCTGTATTAGTCACAAAGAGGGCATATAAAACACTGATGTGTTGCACCACTCGGAGAAAACAAACCCCGAATAGCGAGTCTCTTCCTGTGCTGCTTCATACAGAATTTTAAGAATAACTCAAAGTATAATATAGTACTGCCAGAGGTAATGGTGCATTATAGTCTCAGCTGCCTGATGGATGCAGCAACATACAATGACTGAATAATAATGTGTCATAAATGCACTAAAGCAGTAACTGTTTCTCACTCATTGGGAAGCTTGTCGACGTGCAGAGCCACAGAACAAGCTTCGTATCCCCTCTGGTTTTTTTCGGGGGTGTCCAAATATCGCTCCGTGTAGCCGGTGTCATAGGCCATCCACAACGTCACCGGAGCGCCCGCGATAGCAACCTAACCAACAAAGAGATCACACGGGAGACGGCGTCATCATTTCTGCCTTTCACTGAAAGTGAAGTTCCAGGTCTGTTCTCTAACAGAGGCGGCAATCACTCTGCATGAAATGTAATTATAGAAACTGCCTAAAGCACCAGGATTACCAACATCCATACAGCTTTTTTATTTTTGTGACGCTCACATCCTTAGAAAAGATACGGTAAATGTATCTGATGGAACAAATAATTTACTCCTAGGGCTTCAAAGAGTCATTTATCAGGTGATGAAGACCTATTTTTTTTAATTAAACAACAAAGAGAGTATTACAAATGTGTGTTTAGATTTTTTAATGGGTATTTCTGTTTCCCGGAGCAAAGAGGAAAAACTGAACTGACACATCAAACTTCTAGTTTTCGGCTTGTTGGCTGATCTAAATCTGACAGTAAATGTTTTTTCACCTTAAAGATGTCGGGTCTGTGGATGAGGCCCATGAGGGACAGGAAGCCGCCGTACGACCAGCCGTGGATGGCGACGCGACTCAGGTCTACAAACTTGTACTTGTCTGCGATGTAGTGCAAACCCTCCACCTGGTCTTCAATCTCCACCTGACCCTGGACAGAGGAGAAAAGACTGAACTTGGCTGCTTTGTTTCTACAGAAGAAAACTAAGAAAAGAGGCTAATGTGTTCCTGAATTTTAGGAAACCTAGGAGAGTTTGGAAGGAGCATCTTCATCTTTAACCCGTACATGTTTGTCTCGTGACATTTACCATTCTGTCCTTCACAGCTCCTTCAAACTTGAGGCCTCGCTGGCAGGAGCCCCGCCCATCGATAACAAGCACAACGTAGCCCAAAGAGGCCAGCGTGCTCAGCCGCAGGTACTTCACACCTTTATAAGAATTGTTCACTAATTGCACCTGGAAGAAAATAAACGTATGTTTATGTCACTGTGACATGACAAAATGTGGAACAAATGAAGTGCTGTGAATACTTTCTGGATACGTTGTGGGCATTTTTGTGGAGTTCCTTTGTTAACGTTGAAAAGAAATTAAGGATCAGGTCATATAAATGAAGCGTGCAAACTGATTTACTAGCATCTGCAAGAGGCAGTTTATTGCTAACTGCACTCACACATCATTTTGACTCGTTTAGTAAATCTGGCCCTATGAATGGGGTGGGAGTTGGAGGGCGAACCTGAGGACCACCATAGACAAAGACGACGGTGGGGTGCTTCCTCCCGGGGATTAGCTTCTCCGGTTTGTACAGCATGCCGTACAGCTCGAAACCCGACTTGCCCGTGAA